CAAAGGATATCTGCTTTATAAGAAACACTAAGCTATACAAAAGCCAAAAATATATAGTCTGTTTTAGAGTAGATAAAACTTTATATCATTTAGCAAATTGTGAAATAAATCAAAAAATTTGAAAAAACTTAGAAGAGGAAACTCTGCATCTAACAAATCTAAAAACAAAAACAAAACTAGATTTGTTCCTTAATGAAACTTTGTTAAAGAAAGCTCTTTATAGCAATGATTTAGAAAAGAAGCTCTATATTCAAAAAATATATCTTAGAAGTTTCACAAACAGGAATCAGCAAGCAAATATAAGCAGAATAGCTTGATTAAAAAATAAAGCAAACAGAGTCCTAATAAGTTTTATCGAATACATTTAGATATGCTTTTATAATTATCTATAAAAGTTTCATTGTGAAGTGATAGTTGAATAGGAAAAAAAAACAATATCACTAATAAAAAAAAAAAAAAATCAAAAAGAAGAAGAAGTATGAAAAAAAAAACTTAACACTTTCTGGTAAAACAAAAGAATCAAGAAAAAAAAAAGAAATACGAACACAAAAAGAAGTTTCAAGCAAAGTTAATAAATAGGTCTAATTAGAGAGAAAAAAAGAGTAGTTGTAGTTTAAAACAAAATAGATAATCTTGATATAGACTAGTAGCAACCTCTCATCGACTAGAAACTAGAAGTTTATTTATTCAAATTTAAACTTTTATGAGAGAAATAGTTGCTATAGCAGATTGCACTTAGGTATCTAAAGGTAGTTAAGTGTGTCCTGAATAGTTTTAGAAAAATATTATTATTATTAATAGTATAGCATTTTACTTGTAGCTTAAATTAGCTTTTTCTTAATAAAATGATAGACAAGATCATCTAAGTTAAAAAAAAAAAATTTTATTTATTTAATTTAAAAATATTATTTAATTATATAAATATATTAAACTTTAGAAATATTATATTTATAACACCTATGTTATATAATATCTTATATATAATAATTATGTAAACTAGATTAGAGTAAGAGTATAGATTTTTAGTATATTATATATTTAATAATATAGTATTATATAATATAGTATTATGAATATAACTTTCTTAAATATTATTTTTTTTTTTATTATTATTAAGATGGCTTTTTTTGCTAATTAGATTTTATTAGTTTGTTATTACAGAACTACTACAAGAGTAGACTTCTAAAGTTTTATAGTTATATAATGAGTATACAATAAGCTACATGTACAACTTTAATTATTGTCTAATTTAAGTATTCCATTATATAGACAATTGACTATCTGTTAGTTCTATACTATGCAGTTATATCTGTAATCTACCTATAAGTTACCTATTTAAATACTCTAATTATTAACTCTTCTTTTTATTCCAAACTAATATTACTACTACATCTGACTGTTTAAGCTAGCTAACTTGCTCATAGATCTATTTACTATATGACTTAGATTTTTTCAAGATATGTTTGTCTAATATATTGTGAGTTGCAGAGCTCTAGTTAACTTTGGAAGTATACTTACTAGAGTGGTCCATGCTCATTTTACAAATTCACCTAGCTTAGATCTTTGTAATATTTGTATAACTCTAGTTCCTATTATAGCTTTCTACTAGTTTTATATTTGCTGATCTTTTTGAATATTTCATGAAGTAGATTTTCCTAATTCAGTTAGCTGCCAAGCTAAGTTAGTGTTGCTAATCTTCTTTGTAAAACAAACTTACTTGTATCTAACTTGATCTATATTTTTAAAGTAATAGTTTCTTTTCTAGCTCAAGTATTAGCTAATATAACTATCAAAAGCTATACTACTTCATCAACTCAGTGTTTCATCATACAAGTCTCTTGTTTATAGATTCTATTATAATTTATTTGTGTAATATTATATTATACTTCTAATATTTGATCAACTTAGTACAACTCAATTTGCAGAGTTACAACTCTAGAAATAGATAGAGTTTACTGTAAGTTAAATACAAAGATTTAAGTAATTATTCAAATTTATTGACAATAGAATTTGAACTCCAAATCTCTTGTATAGTAGTCTGGCAATCTAACTACTATACTAAGATTACTAGACCTTAACTTTTCTAAACTTTATATTTGTTAAATAATAAAAAAATGATACTGAATTTAGATTTTTTCATCAAAAATTCAAAAATTATATATTTTTTTTTAAAATTAAAAAATATAAAATACTGTAATATATTTTTCTAATATAGATTTTTGTGATAAATTAGGTTATTTAGAGCATAAGGATAAAATTCATTAGTAAAATTTTGAAAATTTTGAAATTTTCAATAATTTTATTAATAAAAATATGAAAAATCTTATAATTCTCAATATTTTATTAATAATTCTATCTTTATACTCTAATTAATTTTGTTCTACATATATTATTATACTATATAAATATATTAAACTTTATATTTATTAAGTTTTAAGATAAAGAAGAATTAAATTTAGAATTAGAAATTTTAAGATTAGAATTAGAGAATTAAAATTAGAATTAGAAGTTAGAGTAAGATCTGGTAATCTTAGTATAGTGATTAAGTTATCAAACTGCTATGTAAGAGGTTTAGAGTTCAAATCCCACTATCAATGAATTTGAATAATTACTTAATCTTTGTATCTAACTTACAGTAAACTCTATTTGTTTTTAAGATTATAACCTTGTAAATTATATTATACTAATATTAATCAGATATTAGAAGTATAATAGAAAAGTCAAGTATAATATAATATTATACAAATAAATCTTAATAGAATCTATAAGCAGAGGATCTGCATAGTAGAAATCCTGAATTAGATAAAGTAGTATGAATTTCAACAGTCATACTAGCTTGATACTTGATCCAGAGGAAGTTTAGAAATAAAAGATATAGACTGAGTAAATGTGAATAAGTTTATAGTATAACGGAAAAGTCAAATATAATATAATATTGTATGAATAGTAATACCAACTTGGCTTAGTAGCTAACTGAATTTGGGAAGATTTATCTCATGAAATATTCAGAAAAACTAAACCAATTTGATAGAGAGCTACAGAAAAAACTAGGTTTGTATGAATACTGATAAAGGTATATACTAGCTTAATTAAGATATAGTACAACATAATTAGAGTTATCCGCAAGCTCCTACTAAAATAAGATACTATTAAGATACTTTGTAATAAGATTTAGTTCTATGAAGACAATTTGAGACACAAGTTGATCTGAGTGATTTTCAAAATGAACAGCACAAGATTAGCATAGATATAAATATTAGATTAAAAATAAAATATTATCATGATGTTAGAGAATTTAAATAGAATATCTACAGGCAGATATTAGGTATAGCAATTGGTAAGTAACCTATATAGCAGAATTTTTAAATAGACAATGACTAAAATTGTATGTGTAACTAATTGTATTCTCACTAACAAATATAACTTGAAAATAATACTTAATAAAAATTTGCAGATAGCTTGTTGAAAAATAAAAAAAAAATAAAAAAGTAGAGTTAGGATTAGAGTTAGAGTTAGAGTATAATAGATTTTAGTAAAAATACTAAAGTGAAGACAACAGCCATAGCAAAAGTATATACTTAATTTTTATAATTTTAAAACTAAAAAAATTATTTAACTATTTAATAATTATTAATTAAAAAAACCAATATTTTATTTAAACTTTGATTTTAAAAAATTTGAGCTAAAAAAAATAAAAAAACTAGCATCCGGAGCAACGCCCGGGTCTATAAGCTAGTATATAAATATTAGCTAAAATTTCAAATTAGCCTCTTTATATATATAAAAAATAAAATCTAAATTTGGCCACAAAAAATTTTTATTAGTTGTAACTAGGTTGTCTAAACTGTAGTCCCTATAGTAAGAATTTATATCGGCTAAATTTACGTAAAAATTATGTAATGTATTTTATTAATAAATTATTTTAGAAGAGTACCATTCTCATCTGAATTAAATTCATTCGATTCTGACTATCGTATCTCGAGATATTTTAAAAAAACTTCAGTGCACCACATTACCTCCTGCGCCAGAATACCCTACTTTCTCTTATAGTTTATCAAGTATATAAACTAAACTGAAAACAGATTCTTTTACGGAACTAGTAGTTCTTAGAAAAAAGTCCCGAAAACCGGAAATTTATTTTAGAAAAATTATCACGCTACACCTGATTAGCCAATCACATGAATGTCCTCTTCATACGTATCAAAAAAAACATATTTTTTTATTCTATCAGCTATCATATTTTTTTATTCTTTCGGTCATGAATCCCGAAACCTTTGTTAATTTAATATTTCATCGCATCGAAGCAAATTTCATTCTTTCACAAGATTATTCATATGTTGAGTCGCTTGTAAACCGTAATTTGGTATTAGACAACGCGACTTCGCAGATTCAAAGGTTTGAATAAATGTTTTTTATTGATCAATTTACATTACAATGATTCTGAAATATTTTATTGATAAAAAGTAAACCATTCGAATCTTACACGGACGTTCTTTTCACATATATTTGTTCTGACAAAATTGCTCCTAATAATGATTTCACGGTAACGTAAACTTCATTTATTCTTTTAAACATGCTATTTGGCTTACAACTTATTCATATTACTTGTAACTCCAGTTGAACGGAATTTTTATTACTCGTTTACTAGGACAGAGACTTCGTGAATCTATAAATCCTAAAGCATATACTCCTTTATTGAAATTATTCAATAATTTTGAACCACAACCCAATTTTTGTAAGACATTTGGATTATGGTGATGTGAAATTAAGCAGATCACCCTAACCCTAACCAATCAGATTCCTTAATTTCACTTCACGACATTTATTATCATCAACGCGTATCTCACAATTCTCAATATTAATATAGTTCCTTTTAGATTTTGTATTTTATTGTTACTGAATCAAGCCTTTCATACAAGTAGAGTGCCTGGACGTACTATGTATTGGTTGCTGTCATTTATACGTGATGAAGTTACCTGGCTATTACAAAATGAAGACCATGCCATTCTTTATACTCAAATCACGCAATCAGAAAATATATCTTCTTTCTTAAAAGATCAATTTGGAAAAGTAATATCTATGTTTTTGACGTAGTTGAATTTTATTAATGATAATTAAATTATTACTTACAATTATCTACTTTATTAGACTAAATATACCCTAATGTATGAGGATCTTGAATTTTCTCGATTAGTGGAAGGATTCTCTAAAATTACAAATATTCCTATAGATCATGGTTTTACTGATGATGAAATTCTTATGGAAAAAAAGTATTAAAAAACCGCTATTCCTGACAAGTTAATTACGATTATCGACACGTGCTAATGCTTTAGATACTTAGATTACAAAGGTGTCAAAATATTCTTGAATACTCTATTCATCACCCATCTGAACACAGATTACTCCAAAGTAAGATTAGAATGGTACGTTTAAAATTTGTAAAAATAAAAAAAAAAAAACACGTTTTCATAGTTTGGTCAATCTTAAGGTTTTATACTATATAGTCACTTGAACCGCGTGATATTGAAAGATTTCGGCCAATACACATGCTGTAAGATTTTGAATTGTCATGTTAATCTCTTGAATGATAATAACTTTAAATTATTGTAAAGATTCAAGATTTATCGGTCTGAATATCCGTACCAAATCGACCCTTTGTTAAATCAATTGCGATTGACTAAATTTTTTACATACGAAGAAATTGAATCGGTAATTTTAAATTTATTATTCTAAATTATTATATTCAAACTTTATTTATATTTTTATATTTTTTTCATGTATATTAGATGTCATTAAATCCGTTTCTTTCGCGGCTGATGTACAACGATGTCATTGATATGTATTTGAATCGTTTAAAGGTGGCTGAATTGGAAATAAAACACAGGTTTAAAAATATCCAAGTTAGGTTCATTCTATAAAATTGATTAATTTGTTAATATTGCTTGGTATTAAATAACATTAAAATTTTTTTAGGATATTGTAATAGATCATGAAGCGCGGATTGACATTTTTAACGCGTCTTTAGCAGAGCTAAGGCAATTGTATGAACAATTTATATATTTAGAAGATGAAGAAATAATTCTTATATTAATTGATATTGTTGAATTAGTAATAAATGTTCCATTCAAGTATGTATTTAGTCGTTTAAAATATTCTTAACAATGTTCGTACTTGACGCTTTTGTTCTTGATATTATTAGATTTATAACACGAACTTTACTTGCCACGTTATTTTTTTACCAATTCTGTACGAATACGGTTCAAGCTATTGAACCCACAAAGGTACAAAATATAATTAATTAGTATTGATGTTTAATAAAAAAAATTATCTTAATATCAATTGTTTTTTATATAGTCTATAAATTTCAAAGAAATCAATCGATTATTCCTCGACATCTGGATTATTACATTTTCTCGACTTTGTATCGTCAGACCGTTTACATCTCAGCAAACATCTGCATCAGATGTACATGATAATCTTTTGACACTCACAACACTATTTATTTATTCTTTCAACGCGTCTATGCTGTGTACTTGGTTACCACCTTTTAATAATTTGAAAAATGGTATGTCGAAACCTTCTATAGTAGTTTTGACACCATTTTTAGATAGTCTACTTAAAATTTTTCATAAAGTGGTATCGAATAATGTTGAAAATATTGATAATGAAAATATGATTAAGATGATATTCGATAAGCTTGGATTTGAAGTACCATTGGAGGTTTTAATCCGAGAATCAAAAGAATTGGAGAAAGTTACAGGTAAAAGTGATTGGATGGCAGTATTGATAGAACGTCTTAATAATATTGATTATTAAGAGTAATTGATGATTAGTATATCATGCGATTATTTTTTTGTATACTAAATATTATACTTAAAATTTTCACCTTTTGTTTTATAATTAAAAGTTTTCCTATTTTAATATATAACTTGGAAATAAACGAACTTTAAAGAATTTTGTTTGGCCACGTGGGGTGAAAATTAAGATGCATTAATTATTAACAAGAAATTGTATTATGTTTAATGTTTAAATATTTATTTAGTTCAAAATTTTATTATATATATTTTGTCATTTTTTTAATCGATATGCGTATCTTTTTTTATATAATAATGATGAAAACTTAAATACTGTATTCACTTCAAGCTTATTTATTTTTATTTATTACAAACTCAAAAAATGTTTTTATTTATTTATTAATCTAATTTATTAAATAATATGAAATAAATCATTTAGTTAGAAAATTATCATTTAACGCCAGGGCGTTATAACGCCGTGTAACGAGAAAATCAAAACAACAAATAAAGCGTAAGATTGAAGTTAATTAGAGTTAGGGTTTAGACCAGATTAGGGTTAGGCAGGGTTAATATGTATACCAAAATTTTGCAAGGTAACAAGCAATTGTTGTTTTTTTACGTTACACCTGATCCTGGAATCTGATTGGTCTATCAAGGGTGGCGTTATAGCGCCATGGCGCTATTTTATAAAACTCATTTAGTTAACTTATTTTTACAGAATTAAATCTACTACAAATATAAATCTCAAATATAAATCTCAAAAGAAAATGAATTTGTGTTCTAGAACTTAAAATACCGTAGATTATAAAGGAAAGTTTTAAAAAGAAACGAAAATATAATTAATAAAAATAATCGTGACTTCGAGTTAGTGATAACTCAAAAAATGATTCCTTTTTCTTCTGTCTTTTGATTCTCGTGCCAAATTGTACGTCTCGACCTGGGATTTGTAAAATGTTTCTTAAAAAGCTTCTTATATCGAAGGTTTCTTATGTCGAAGGTTTTTTTTTTATATCGAGAGTCATTTGTAATATAAAAATCAAGTAAATAAAACATCAAATTAAGTTATTAGTAAAATAAATTGCAAAGAAAAAAAAAAAAGGTAGAAAAAAAGAAAAAAAAGTATAACCTCTAAATAACTTAAGGCACTTCGAGAGATAATGATACGGATTTTCGTAATACGCGAGAGAGAAATGATAGACTCGTCGTTCTTTACGATATTTTTTTCTAAAAAAATAAAAATAAAAAATAAATACATCGTGTCATCATCGTATCCTCCTTCCCTAGAGCAACCTTTCATCTAAAACGATAGTTACAGTTTCGGAACGCATGTGTTTACACGAACGAACTTCCGCAGCGTAACTTTCACACATGCGTATACTAAAGATATGAGCTTAGTGCTAAGAAAAGTAACTATAAGCTTGGCGCTAAGAAAAGAAACAAATTGATTTAAAAAAAACCTCTTCTTAGCACTTAAGCCCACATCTCATCGTCGTACCCTCCTAGTCCTTCTATGTAACATTATCATCCTGATTATTCAATTGCAGTTTCAGAACGCATGTGTCTACACGGTAACCCGCAGCGTAACTTACACACATGCGTATACTAAACATGCAATACTCAGTAAAATATATTTACCTTCTGTCGCGAGCAAAAAACGGCTTATCAAATCATAAGATCGTAAAGTCGTCTAAATAATGGTGAGATAACTAGAAGAAAATAGTAAAGGTTATTGTTTAAAATAGCGATAACATAAAAGCAGAATAAATTTTAAAAGTGAAAGTTTATGTTTTAATAAAGAGAAATAGTAAATTAGAATTTAAAAATATGTACCTGCTATGTTTTTTTTTAAAAAAAATAAAATTATTGACTTGTCGTTATTTCACGTAGAAGCAAAAATTCCTAGTTACAAGGATAAAAAACGTGTTTTAACCAAGAATCAATCATGACGTCATTTTTAGATTAGCGAATGTGAAAAGGGGATCACCATTACACAAACAATCAAACCGCGCTAATTAATTAACACCCACCGATCACATGAAAGCTGTGTAACAAGAAAATTTTAATTACGAGTCGTAGCGATGGCAATTTTTAAAACTTTTAACAATGTCAATTCCAAACGAAACATTACGCAAGGTGAGATAAAACTAGTGCTGTAGTTAATTTATCGACTTGACTAAACTGATATTTAAAAACTGACTTTGTCGACTATGCCAAGCCAATTACCTGTAGTATTTTTTCCAATACTATGCTTGTTTGATTAATTAGATCCTCAGTATATAACTATTCCTCATATATATGACTACATTATAATCGGCTTGAACAAGGCAATTTTTTAAAAATCAGTTAACTTAGTCTACTAAGTCGATTTTTTTACCGATCAACGTCAAGTCGATTACAAGCACTAGATTAAAGCCTTGTTAAAATGAATTAATAATATTTGTTAATCGTTCTAATCGTCCTAATATGCACAACAAAAGGTTCTATTTGAGTTACAAAATAAATTAATCGAAGACAATCGAAAGCTTACTTTAGTAAGGTCACAAATACAAACAAAGGAACGAGATAAACGATTAGCTGAGCTGACCAAACATGAATTGTCGACTTTAAAACCAGATACTAGAACTTATAAATCTGTTGGTAAAGCGTAAGAATTAACTTTTGAAAATTGAGCTTTTATTAATTCAAGATCTCGAAATATGAATTTGATCGATTTATTATTTAATATTTATTTTATTTTATTTTATTTTTAAACAGATTTATTAAAGCAGATTTACCAGAATTGATGAAAGATCTTGATGTACGTGTTACAAAAGCCAAATCTGATTTAATTACTTTGGATAAGTCTAAAAAACATTTGGAAAGAAATGTTAATGAGTCTCAAACTTACTTAAGGGAAATTACTAATAGTCGCGGTTGATATTTGTTTTTTCTTAATTCTTGGATTAAATTGTAGGGAATTTTAAGTTGTCTCTAGTATACTTAAAATATCTCATGTGTTCGTTAGCTAAAACATTAATGGTTAGGGAAATTGTATTTACATAATACACTATGCATTAATACCAAAGATCATAATGTTACCCTATCTAAAAAAATTTGCTAATAGGTTAGGGTTTTCATCATTAAAGTTGGTGGTTAATAATTATGCCAAAATTTTGTGAGGAAAACTTTTTCTCAGTGCGCAGAATGCAATTTCATATACAAAGTTTTTGAATCATTATACACCTGATCTTGTACTTTGATTGGACAGCAAAATTTTTTCTACTTTTGAAATTGGCATAGCATCAACGTGACTTACTGCGTCGATTATACAATGTACAGGTGATGGGGCTCGAGTCTTATTTTATGCTGTCCAATTACCACATATCGATATTTTTAAGCGCACATTCAAACACTATCGCTATAGAAACACTTAAATTAACCATAAATGTACATCCACCATAAATTCTTTAATGGGGCAGTACATGGGATAATGCATACATAGTATGAACGGTCTCCTGAGGGGGTTCAAAGGCTTATACTGTGATACATACGTCGTGCATAAATTTCATTAAATTTGAAAAATTGTAGGAATGTCAGGATTATTTGATAAAAATATTAGCTGCAGCTAATGCATTAATATTATCTTTATTTATTTATACAAGATCATCCTTGAAATTCTTGCAATATTCTCTATATTGAAATTTAATTTAATTACAATAAATTCCGCTAAAATCAATATAATTAAGAAGACAGAGAAATTTAAACCTCCAAAGCAGCTACTATATGTCTTTCTTCTATTTTTTTTTCGTTTATACCTTGACTTGCTTCAGCATTAGCTTCTTCAGCTAGCCGTTGAAGAAATAAAATGTAGTCTAGATAAATCTACATATTTGGAAAATTAGATATATTTAAAAAAAATATATGTCAAACGCGTATTTGTATATATTTTGACCTACCATAACATCTACGTTCTTGGTTAATGCCTTGTTGTAGTGAGACTTGATTATTTTTTTAAGTGTTGCACGAGGAAATAATTGTGTCATATTTCTAAGAAAATTATTCTCAAATTTTACGTGTTGGATTTGTATTTACCGTATTATTGTTATCGTTATGTGTTTATCCGAATTATAGTAAAATTTAGTCAGCCAATGACGAATGATCATAACATTACTATTTGGGGTTGAAATCAAGCAAATTTTTTCTAAGTAAATTTTTTTGAAAAAAATATTTCAACAAAAACTTTATCAAATTTAATAAAAAATTTTTTTAAAATAAATGCTAAAATTTGTAGAATTCATTTAAAAATTTTTTTATTAAATTTGATTAAGTTATTATTGTTAAAAAATTTCAATAAAAACAATTTGCTTGATTTCTATTGACTCACCCCATTTAATAATTTGACTCGTACGTGCAAATGATTGGCCAACAGTGCATATATTCGTCCTCCGAGCCAAATTACCGTTATTTGTCGATGCTTGTCCAATAATGTATACATATCACACGTATGTACGTATGTAACTTTCTGTGACTATATAAGGTCTCATTGAATCAGGATTAGATATTGATTAATGTAAATCCGGATTGTGAAATGGAACGATCTAAGGAGCATATCAAAATTTTAAGTGAAATCAGTATAGTCACGTTGAAGTATGAAACAAGTCTTCCTAACAAATTGTCCTAAACATTTCATTTGGGGTAATAGTTATAGCGATAGGCTTTAATTGGATTAATTAGGTGTTTTATATCATTCCCTCTTTTATGCTTGTATGTTATTTGTCGATCTATAGAGAGCTATTCCGTTTTTAGTACACCCCTTTTTTTTTTCCAGAAATTTCACGTGATTACTAAGCATTTTATTAGGATACTCCGGACTTCCGATTAAAATACTTCTTTTAGAGCAGGGATTGGCAAAAAGGTTAATTAAAAATAAATTCTTTTTTCAATCATTAAAACTTCAATAACTATCCTGATAATATCAATTTTGTGCATCAGAAATGTGAATGAGGTTTTACTTATATCACTATCAGCTATACACTCTCATGCCTAGTATAAGGCTTCTGACACAATCGTGAAACTGTCCATCAATAAAATATAACATATTGTGCATATTCTTTGTTAGATGAGATCATAAATATTATAGTATAACCAAATATATTCGATTTTAATCACCTGATGATTATATAAACAATGGTTACCTACCTTCTAAGCCACCAAATTGCGAGATCAGTGATATAAAACATCTGTTCGACGTTAATTTTTCTAACTTTAAAAAAAAAAAACATAATGACATCACATACAGAAAAAAGTACAGCAGAAGAAGATTCTGATATTATTGAATTCTTGAACCGTAAGTTAGCAAATCTTTCAGTGGAGTCTGATGCTGCTGCAGAAGTATTAGGAAAAAACGATGACGGCTTGCCAGTTTGTGAAGTGTCAATGCTGGTTTGTTACAGAATATTTTCTAGAAATAAAAAATCGCTTATTTTGTTATTTTCATATCATTGTTAACGTTTTCTTTGGCAAATTCATTTAGCTGCCTCAATATGCACAAGTTGTATATAATGCGCTTCATTCTCCAGTGCGTCAGTTACGACTTGCTGCAGTTGTAAGACTACGAAAATATTTATCCTTGCGTGAGTAATATTATATGTTGTTAAATTTATAAAATTTTTTTTTTTTTTTTTTTTTTTTTTGGCTCACTTCAACTGTTTGTTCGAATGTTTTGCTGAATATGCAGAAAATGTTGATGAAAGAGTTGATAATGTCTTGGCGCTGGGAATAATACCATTATTGATAGAATTTCTTGAATGTTATCATGATAATTTATTACAAGTGATTATATATTTCATATTAAGAATCTATTACTCTTTTTTAAGGTGACTAAAATGTCATTGCATAATTCGTTTTTTTAAGTATGAAACAGCCTGGATAATTACTAATATAGCCGTAAGCATTTATTATAAATTCGTTTTTTTTTTTTTTTTTTTTTTTTTTTTTTTTTTTTTTTTTTTTCTTCCTCTTCATACATTAACATTTAACAAATTAATTATTTGGTGATTTTTGTCATCCTTTTAATATTGACTTCTTAGGCCGGTTCCACTCATCATACTCAAGCTTTGGTCGCCGGTGATGTAACACAACACCTTATTAAAGTGCTTTCCACGTCAAGCAATATCGAAGTTCAAACGCAAGTAAGAGAATATCGTTTATTTATTTATTAACGCTAATTTTCACTTTCAAACAAGATGTTATCTAAATGTTATATTGGTAATAACAGATTATATGGGCATTAGGCAATATTGCCGGGGATGGAGCCGTTTTCAGAGATATTATATTATCTGCTGGAGTAATCGAACCTTTACTATATATTTTATCCCATTACGATAAATACGACTACATGGCTGTCAGGATAACGGTCTGGGCAACAGCAAATATGTGTCGCGGATGTCGTTGTTCTGATCCTTCGTGGTCTCTGGTAAGCAATATAAAAAATGTGTAATTAATGATTTTTTTTTTTTTTTTTTTTTTTTTTTGTAATAGTTATTTTTAAAACATTAATTTTTGCCTTAAATTGTATTTTTTTTTTTAAAAAAAAAACATTCAATTAGATTACTCCTGCTTTTCCAATTTTGGGTGCCATGGTACAATTGAATGATTCTGAAATTATATCTGATGCTTGGTGTGTTTCTTGAAAGAATCCTGTGTGAAATGTTGGTGTAGCAGATTTGGTAATAATTCGAAGTTAATCTCTGTTCCACTCTGTTATTAGTTGGGGCATGTCGAGAATTTTGAATGGAACGCATAAGCATAGAGAGCATGCTTTAGTTAGTGACAGCACGTTATGTCTTCGATTAGTGCAGCTTTTGAGGTTAAAATTCTTTTCATATTATGAGGGCTTTACATATATATATGTGTGTGTGTGCACACATATATTATATATATATATATTTGAAGTAAATTTTACACTTTTTTCTCTTTTTACTTTTTTTTCTTTTACAGTGAGGAGAGTCTTACTTCTTCTGTACATCTACCTGTTTTACGAACTTTGGTTAATATAGCGTCTGGTGCAGGTTTGCAAATTTTTTTTTCTTTTTTTTCTAGAAGCTTTTATGAGATTCGCCTGACATTACTAAAATTTCCCGTTATAGAGAAGCAAACACAATCAGTTATAGATGCTGGTGCATTGACCGTTTTGACTTCTTCATTTTTGACAACTAAAAATTTGACGTTAAGGCGTGATGCATGTCTAGCGGTGTCAAATGTGGCTGCCGGTACATACAAACAGGTACTTTAAATTGTTTAAAAAATCCTATTTTCGCAATTTTCAATTGGTTTACTAATTTTATTTCACTAATTCAGGTAAATGCTGTACTTACAGAACCAAATCTAATGGAGAGTATTGTGGCTTTACTTTGGGATAGTGACATGAAAGTCGTTAAAGAAGCTTGTTGGGTTCTTAGCAACTCTACTAGTTTGCATAATCCTGGTCATATTCAGTTCGTATAAGATTCTTATGCTTTAAATATAGTTTTAAATTATTATAATTACGATAATTAAATAAATAAATAAATAAATATATATATATTGAAATAATTTAGAATCATCCTTCAACACGATATTCTCACACCTCTTCTCCATCATTTACGTAATCATGGAACACCACACGAAATATTAAACAAAATTGTCGATACATTAGTCAATATCCTTTCAGTTGGTGATTTGTCTGGTCCAAATTCATCTCAGATATTGGCTAATGAATATGCTGACAAATTAGCATCTGCAGGAATAGTAGAGGCGTTGATTATGACTTGGAATAATCCTGTAGTAAATGAAATTATTAAAGAAAAGGTGCGCGTATTATTAGAACGGTGGTTCTGTGGATACTTACCTCGCAACGAACAAAGTGGTGAAATCGAAGAAGATATTGCGTCAATTGAAGAACAAGTTTCAAGATTGACCATTATGGGAGGTGTTTATTAAGAATAGAATTTCGAACCGGATGCAAACTTATATCACCCGTGTCACCTACGTGATTTTGAAATCGGGTATCCGGGTGAAACCGGGTTGTATATAACCCTTATAATAATCCTATTAAACAATGTAATTGATGTCACTTGCAAATATATTATATAGATTTACATCGATTACATAATAAAATTTAAAAATAATTATATTACGTATAAAATAAAAATAATAATGTGTAACCTAACAATAAACACATTTTGTATTGAACACATGATTTAATTCTTATCATTTTATATAATACCGATATTAGCTAATGCGGTACTTTAGAGATCGAAACTCTATGATTTACAAACATAGTGCAGCACTATCAGTCACGGGACATTTCCCCTTACAGGGGTTCAAAATGTTTATTAGGAGAAAACATGTCGATCACTCGATTTTATATGAAAAATTCATATTCGTTCAACGTTGCTTATAGGGTAACCCCGTATTTATTCAACCTTTTTACCAGTGACGTCTAAATCGAAATTATTCCCAAGAAGTTTATTTATTAAACCAAATAAACTTCAACTTTTAATACTTTGTAATTCGAAGAAGATCTTTATTCAAAGCTAGAGTATTTTAACTTTTGTAATATTGTAATATTATTTATAAAAACTATCAAGTTTTTATAAATTATAAGTCGAAGTGTCGATTAGACTAAGTTTTATATTGAAATTAAAAGAGTTTTTAATGAAAATAATTTAAGATATTTTTATAAATGAATAATAATAAATAGTTTTTAAGGATAAATATATTTTATTAGATGTTTT